AATTATTTATTGCGTGTGGAGTTATGATAGGCTGGGACCATGCATTCTTATTTTTTTTGTTCTTTTTTATCTTCAGGTCCAAAAGAGTCTAATTTACGTGGTTTCAATGGTTTGAGACCATGTGGTCTTTGGATTGGAGAAAATTTAGTACTAATTTTGAGCTAAACTTCCTCTAATTTCATATTTAAGGCACGAATTCGGAGCTACCAAACATAACATTAGCTAAAAGATCAATGAATGGGGATGCGGAAGCTGCACAAGTGAAATTTCCTGACACTTTGTATAAGGTATTTGTATAAAATCCCTTAGGATATGCAGCAGAAACCACCCTTTTAAGCGTGTTCTGTATTGGTTTTAACTTTTAACTTGTTACTCTCCTGTTTTTCTGTCACACAGACACCAGTATATATATACATATTATAAGCCATTGTAACTTGTTACCCTCCTGCGTGGACATTCGCTCGCATGTTCATGTGTTATTATAGATACGAGGTATGGTGCATTCCATTGTATATGAGTTCCTGTTTAGTTCAAGACTCACCACACTCCTTCATCGACCACATCTCCACCAGTCACCAAGTCCTCAGTCCTCTTAGACTAAGAAAGTGATTTCCCAGAATCTGAAACAGCCAAGTGGTAACTTTATTAACCATCTCAAGAAACACCTGTTTTGTTTTGAGTTAAAACAAAAACGTAAAAACAAAGATGCGTATCAGTTAGGCCCTAAAAAAGTGATTTTCCAGAATCTGAAACAGCCAAGTGATAGACTACTTCTTGGTCAAAATTAACCATCTCCAGAAAAGCCTCGTCGCTCTTGTCCAATGACATGATTGAGTTACATTCACATACACATTATATATATTAGTCCAACAATTAGAATACATACATACATACATATATATATATATAACATGGACCACGGCTCCAACTTTTCTCCAAAAATTAATCTCCATGCTATAAACCAACACATCATGTATATATAGGCTTAGAATCATACAAAATCTGTACGTACTACCCCATGATCAATATTTGAAACAAATCTAAACCCAACAACTACATGAGAAATATCAATAAACCGACGAGTGTGGTGTGAATTAATAAGAAATTTGGACTTCTTAATTAATGGGTTCCACATAATTATTTTTACCAATATATGAAATAATTAGTGTTGAACAAAACAGATTAACCCTCTATTTTTATCCACAACTCCGCAACTCGTATCTGATACTGAATCTGAATTCACTTTCAACAAGCTCATCAAATGTGTTTATGCAATGCAAGGAGTACGAATCTTTGGTGTAATCATTGGATTCATAGGGAGAAGGAGCTGGCTGGGCCTGGAAATTCAAGTTTCAAAGAGAGAATTTGTTAAAATATGTTAGAATCATATTTTAAACAATAACAACAATAATAATAATAAAAAAATGTGACACATTTGGGTGTTAACATGTGATTGGATGAGATCACATGATTCAGGACCATGTTAGAAAAATAAATGTCTTTTCATGCTGTCGAGAAAAATCATGATGTAAGACAGTTTTACAGACCTTTTCGTGGCTCAATCACATTGTTTCGATTCAAGGATCAGACTCATTCTTCAAAAATGACTCAACCATAAGTAAAACTCGTTAAGCTTTAGCTAGTGGCTTATGGTGCTTTTCGACCAAATTCAGTCATTTAGGGCCTCAAAATCATGTTTCTCCTGTCTTATTGGAAGAAGGCGAAATATTTGTTACTATTTTTTTTTGGTTAGAAGTCTAAACAGATTTGAATCATCCACCATTTTCTCTTTAACTTGGTAGTTTCAAAGTTGCTATTAGTTCATTTTCTCGAACATTCTTAAGTTCCGTTTTATGTAACCATCATCACTTTATTCTCAACGATAGATTTTGATGATTTTGTTTGTCAAAAAAAAAAAAAAAAAAAAAAAAAAAACCACAAGACTGAAGAAATGATTTACATTATTTTTATTTTTCACAATGTGGTAGTGTTTGCTTTCTAAGTCATGTCAAAACCTGTGTGTGTACGTGGACATTGTGACTTCGATTTTTGGATTTCAGAATCAAAATCCTGGTGCTGAGTTCGAATTTTGGATTGTGAGTTCGAAATTTGGCAAAATCAATTTTGAGATCTTGTTTAATCCTAGAGAGACCCTTTTCGGTATTTGGTTCATGTTCCCGCTTTGCAGTTCTTATATGTTTCAAGACTGCCATTAACTCATTTTAGCTATGGTAACATTCTTTGAATTTCCTCCAGCATAATCCATTAATTCAGGCCCAAACCAATGTTTCAAAATAAATTAGGAAGCACCAATGCAAAGAATATATATATATATATATATATATATATATATATATATGGGTACTACCATATATTAATAGTGTCCAAAATGTATCCAGCCGTATCTGACACGTGTCTCGACCCTTATCCATTTTAAGAGAAGTATATGTATTTTATAGAAAATAACCCAATTGTTAGATCTGTAGTAGTTTCAAGGAAATTAAAAAAAAAAAAAATGAAAAATTTAAAAAGTAAATTTGTTTTTTTAATTGTTCTTCATGTAAAATTTATAATATTTGATGAAAAATATATTAATGTGGTTAACAAAAGCATAGATACACGGAGAGTCGTGGTCTTGGTGGCTTGCTGGATGTGGCAGTGAAGAAGAATATGATAGAGAGAATAGTGAAGGAATCGTATTCATTGTGAAGACCCGTGGACACTTTGTAATTATATTCAAGTGAAATGTTATTTATCATATTGGGCTACTTATATTTGTCCAATATTTTATTCTTTCTTGCATCCTTCACTTGCATATTATTATCTAATACGCTGTGCCCTGAAATATAATCCGACTCGTTCGCTGACTAGAAGATATAAGGATGTTGGCCTATTTTCAAGATAAAAAGAATGCAACGACTACATTCGAAACATTTTTGTATGGCTCCATCATAAAACATAGATATGGTAGACATGAATGGCAAGAAATAGGCAAAATAGATATATATATATATATATATATATATATATATATATATAATACTTAAAAAGTGTTTTTTTTTACCCTTGTATACAATTATGCATGCATATTTCTGAAGTACCATGAGATTGCTTAGCATAACCAAAACAAGGACTTGCTTTAACTTTGTGCAGCAAATCATGAAAAGTGAATTAAATTCTTTGTCAACCCGGGGAAATCATAGGCAGAGACAGAGCATAGACCGGAGGCCAATCACGTCTCAACTGGCATTGGCAAATGAGAAATTATGAGAGCATAGACCGGTGGCAATATTGCAGCATTTGGTCCCCAAACAACTCCAATTAGCCATCTCTATTCTCTCTCAAACTCGTCTCCTACATAGCAATTTAAATTATTTGTCACTGCTTAGTCCCAACCCTAAATATACAATGCCAATTTGAATCATTCATCACTGTCTAGTTCCAACCCTAAATATTCCAGTAAATACTAAACACTTTAATGGCAACCAAACATACACCAATACGCCAATAACAATTATGAACAAATAAATAACCTTTCCAAGCACAAATCAATAAGCATCAAAATCTACCAGTAAATACTAAACACTTTAATGGCAACCAAACATACACTAATACAAACAAACCTGCCAATGACAATTATGAGCAAATAAATAACCGCACAAATCAATAAGCATCAAAATCTACCATATTAGGCAAAATCAAGAGTCATAATCATTGCAAGTTCGCAACGTTGTTCCCACCAACCATAATGAAAAGGAAATAACTAACTTACCTAGATGAAAGGAGGAAGAGAAAACCTTATTGGTAAGCCAAAAAAAAAACAGCATTTTCAAACAGGGTTATGACAACCAATACTGAAGTATTGTCATAGGACATTCAAACACCTTGTGGGTAATCCAATTAATATAGATTACTGTCAGGTTTAGTGGGTATTTGACATTTTATTGTTATGCAGTATTCAACTAGAGAATATTTTGATGAAAATTATGCAGTACATTGGTATTGTTCATCTTAGAAAAAGAAAGATCTGTCTTCTTCCAATATTAAGCATAGATTCTGGCAGCATCAATGCATGCAGCTTTACCATAACATTCATTTTAGCACTAAAAGCAACTATATTGTAATCAAAGGTCGAATCTTAAGAGTTTTTACAATACAAATCTGAGGGGTAAAAAAGAGAGGTTCCATATACTCAGCTTGAAGTCCTACCCAGCAGGACCAAACTATAATACAAATTAAATGAAACAAGTAAGATGTCTAATATATAGCAACTCATCTAGTTTCATCTTCAACAGAAAAAATGATCATCTAATCATATCCTTGCCAACTATGAATTTATAACATGGGACACATTAATGGCGACCAACCATACACTATCCAACACCAGCCATTGAGAATCATAAGCAAAAACACCTTTTCAAGCACAAATCAGTTTGCCCCAAAATCTACTAGGTAATTGCATATATAATCAAGTGTCATAAACATTACAACATTGTTCCTATATACTAAAAGACAATAAATTTTTTTAAAAAAAAAAAAAAAAAAAATGAGCTCATATATCTATATGTTAAATGATAAATAAATGTGTTCACATAATTAGACATTCAGCAAGATAAATCTGGTAAGATGTGATTATATGATGAAATTCTCACAATTCCATATTTAAATATACAAGCAAATACACAATAATGTGAGCTTTGGGATTTGAATAAAGTTATCAAATAGCAGCTAGTTACTACACTCCATTTAGGATTCAAAGCAATAATATTAACTTTTCAAGCACAAATCCGTTACCACCAAAATCTACCCTTTTAGGCAATTGCAAATATAATCAAGAGTCATAGACATTACAACCTTGCTGCTAGCAACCACAAATAAGCAAGCACCAATATCTAATTAGTAAGCAATTGCATATACAATGAAGAGTCATAAACATTAAAATCATGTTCCTACCAACCATACCTAATTAGTAAGCCAAACTACATTGTGTTGGGGGCAACCTAAACTGGAGGTGGGTTAATGATCTTCAACCTTCTTGGATAATAAGGTTTTATGCAGTTATTTTCTAGGTGAAAGACACCATTGTCATGGCCATCATATATTTGGTTAAATCCTTCGAGGAAATGATCAGTGAAGTAGATAGAATTCTTCATCAGCTCGGGATAATGGCAAGTTGAGAGAGAAAAGGAATGATTAGAACCCACAAACAGTGCTCGGTCACCTAAGCAATCCACAGGTTCCCACTTACTCTGACCGAAATCAAAATTATGAACATCAAATCCCAGAGTCCAATAAGCATCATCATCTTGAAGGAAAAGATTTTGAAGGAAAAGATTTTCTCGTTCATCATCATTAATGTTATTCACCACATCGTCTTCAGACCTACGAGGATGCACAAATTCAGTTTCAGCAACACTTAGGGCTATAAATCTGCGAAGCACCAAAAGATCCCCCGAGGATTCAACTAAGTAATTTGTGAATGTAAAATTATAAGATCCCTTAAATTTGTGGTAAAGCTTCCCAGGACAAAAGTCGGGACTATCAAAAACTTGATATTTGGGAGAAGAAGGGTCTCTGAGATCCCAAGCTTCAATGCTATAATCTGATCTCATTGCATAAAATCGGTGTTCTTGCTGGAATATATGAGATCAGAATAACATCCGAGCGAACCCTCCAAGTTGGTCCAGCTATCATCGCCCGGTTTGCAGAAGGCAAGACTGTCGGAGCCGCTGTGGATGGCCATTATAGTGCAATCATTTCCGGGAGAAGATGAATCTGATGAATAAAAGGGGAGAGATGGGGGTGATGACATAACAAGCCTTCGTACATAAAAGTAATCAATGTCTTTGGGGTAAACGGCGAGCTCATCTGCGTCCTCCTCCTCGATATTCGTGATCTTGTAAAGTGAGATTAGGAATTGGGTGTTGAGAGAAGGGGAAGGGGAGAAGTGATCGGATTTGAAAAGGCGCGAGGCGAGAAAGGAGGGGAGGGTTTCGATGGAAGGGAGGGGAATGTAGGGGAAATGAGGAGAATCTATCAATGGGTTGTAGAGATAAGGATGGCAATTCTGAGGGTGGTTAAAGGCCAACCAGCCATGGGAAGACCCCACGCATGGAGCGGCTGTAGGCATAAGGAGTTCCCTCTGCCATGGTATACTACTAAGATTCTTCCGAACCCTAAATTGACTCTGTTCTGAAACACTGAAGAAATGAAAATAGTTATCACCGTCCTGGTGGCTTGAGTGATTTAGTTATGTTTTGTTATCATTGACGACAACCACCACCCCCGGTGGTAGCATAAGCAATGGAGGAGGAGGAGGGCTTACAGGTGGAGAAGAAAAGGTTGCAGCCTTTTTGAAGCATCCGCCTCCAAGAAACAAACCACCGCCACCGGTACTGAAGTTTTGAAATCTCGCCGGATTGAAACAATTGAACCATGTTCTTAGCAGATACCCGTGGCAATACAGCATCCGATCGCCAAAACTCCTCAAATTAGCCATTTCCCCCTCCCTCTCTCGTTACCACTCTATTCGAGACTTAGAACTGTAACTAACCTGAAACCCTACTTTATACTACCACATTGCTAGTTTTCAGCTTGACATATAAGGTCTTTCTCTAACATAATTTAAAAAATTAAAATTATACCGTTGCTATTTTTTTTTTAATAAATTATATTGTTGTTGTTGTTGTTGTAAAATTTTATAATGATTACACTATAAATAGTGCTAATGATTTATATTTATTATTTGATAGAGTGAAAAAATATTATTTATCTTCACTGGGGTATCACTTTTAGTACATAAAGTGGTATTTTTTTGTCATTAGGTACTACTTTTTGGATTGCACAAAAAAGTGGTACTTGATGTACAAAAAGTTGTACCTTTGTGAATGAAAGTGGTATCTCTATGTCCAAAATAAAAGTGGTATTTATGTGCGTAAAAATACTACCGCACTAAAGATAAATAATGTTTTTTTATGTTCACGTCAGCATTTTGGTCAACTTCATTTTTTCAAAACTATAAGATTATGACTCCACTAAATAATAAATATGGGTCATTAATACCATTTATATGTAATAATCCCATAATTTTATATGATTTTTTTTTCTTTTTCCTTGCCAACAAGCAAACATTACATAGAAACACAATACAAATCAGCCTTTGCCAACTCAATTACAAATAAAGGCACATAGGCAACAGAATTACCTTTTCGACCAATATGCGAGATGCACGCCTCCTTAAACCAACTTAGTGCTTCTTTGATATCAAAAGTCAAAGCTGAGAGCTCTTTCGAATGAGTCACAGCACCAAAAACTGCATCAACCACCAATTTTGCATCACATTCCACCCAAATACATTGAAACCCCACTGGCCCACCATAAAGCCCAACACATACACTGAGCGTTAGCACAAGCTGCGGATACAACAAAAAAATGATTTCAAAGTTACCACGTCACTTATAGACCCGACTGAATCCCTGAACACAACTCCACTACCTTTTACAAAACTAGGCATCAATATTACACTTGATCCAACCATCCTTCGGAGGCTTCCATAACTTCTTAGGTTGCAAAAATTGAAAACTAGTATCTAATCGTCCTCTCCGATTTTGAACCTCCATAAATTCTGGAAAGCAGGAACAAGCTATCGCTGCCACTTGCCAATGATCTTTTTTTCTCTACTCAAAATAAAAACAATTACGCTCTTTCCACAATGCCCAAGCACAAAAAGAAGCTAAGCCCATTCGTTTAACGCGCAGTTCTTTCGGCATCGATCCAGAAGCCAAACTCTTCCACCATTCCGCAAAGGATGGAACATTCACACCACAAAAATTCAAATGAATAGGAGAAAATTTTCAAACCTGAATCGCCAATGAGCACCTAAATAATATATGCACCACCGTTTCCTCCTCCATTCCACAACGAGGACATAACTCACGCTCCACAATTCCACGGATTTTTAGAGCATTGTTCGTTGAGAGCACTTCCCAACAACATTCCATAAAAAATGTTTAATTTTAGGTAGTGTGCAACAACCCCATATAAGAGACCATAGCTCAGCATCATGTTGATGAGAACCAGATTCTGCTTTGGATTGTGGCGAATAAATAAGGTCTTGAACCACCACATAGTAAGCTGATTTGAATGAAAAAATTTCAGAAGACCCATAGCCCCATATTGCTTTATCTTCTCCCCCATATTGACTAAAAGAACAGCTACGTATAGCTACCACTTCAGATGGTGAGAAAAGTAGTTCAAGAACCTAAAATTTCCATGTAGCATCTTCATGATTCAATAAATCAGCAACAACTATCACCCATATATTGTTCCATATATCTATAGACTTCCCATCACCAATTGACCACTGCAAGCCTCGCTGAACAATTTTTTGGACTGACCAAATGCTTCTCCATGCCCACGACGGATTAAATCCAAGTCCCTCATCACGATAAGCACAATGAGGAAAATATTTTGCCTTAAAACAACTTGAAAGCAAGACCAGCCCGACCAACATGAAAATTCTAAGCTTGTTTCGCTAACAATGCATCATTAAAGGCTTCAAGGTTTCGAAATCCCAGACCACCATTTCTTTTACCATAACAAAGTGAGTCCCAGGAATTCCAATTAACAACTCGCGATCCTACTTTTCCCCACCAGAAGGCTTGAAACTTCTTCGTTAATTCCAAGAACAAGGATTTTGTGAGCTTAAAACAAGACATCACATAGGTAGGGATGGCACAGAACACCGCCTTAATTAGAATATCTTTCCTACCAACTGATAGACAACTCTTTTTCCAATGAAGCTAACTTGTCTTGCACCTTCTCAAGGACAAAATTAAATAAATCTCTTTTGGATCGCCCCACAAAAGCAGGAAGCCCAAGTACAAGATTGCAGCCAACACCTCTCTCAAATCCCAAAGAGCATTTTTAGAGAAAAACACTGAAGATTTTGTAAAATTAACCTGTTGCCCAGATGTTCATTCATAATTATTGAGAATTCTCTTCACTAATCTGACTTCCTCCGCCTTGGCTCGACAAAAAATAATAGAATCGTCAGCGAAAAAAAGATGCGAGATGGAAGGAGCTCCTCTGCAAATTTTTACACCTGTCAAAAGTTGGGCTTGCACTACTCTTTGCAAGGCTAACGATAGAGCCTAGGAACAGATAATGAAAAGATAAGGTGAAAGGGAATCCCCTTGACGCAGTCCTCTTGTTGATTTAAAAACCCCACTGGCTTACCATTTACCACCACCGAAAAAGAAACTGTAGAAACACAAGCCATGATGAGCTTAACCCAGTGAGAGTTCAAACCCAATTTTAGGAGCATAGCTCGCAAGAACGACCACTAAACCCAATCATAGGCATTGCTCATATCCAATTTGCAGGCCATGAATTCCTTTTTGCCTGCCCTTTTATTTTTTAGGTAGTGCAATATCTCATGTGTAACAAGAATATTATTGGATATATTTCGTCTTGTAACAAAAGCACATTGGGAGTCGCTAATAATAACATTAACGATCCTTTTAAGTCTGTTAGCCGGCACTTTAGAAATAATTTTATAGGCCAAATTACAAAGAGAAATAGGCCGAAAATGAGAAACCATAGTTGGATTTGCAATTTTTGTATTAAAGGCAATATTAATATGATTTAGATTTAAAAGCATAAAACTCGAATGCATAAAACTTTTAACAGCAGCAATTACATCATTTTTAACAACCTTCCAAATTTTTTGATAAAACAACGGAGTCATACCGTCTGGCCTTGGAGCTTTGAGCGGAGCCATACTAAACACAGCATGATGAATTTCATCTTCAGATGGAGGAACCAACAACTCATCATTCATTTCCGGTGAGACTTTACAAGGAACAAGCTATAGAAATTGGTCCACATCTGATGGATCTTGGGACTGAAAAAGATTTCGAAAGTAGTCCAAAAAAATATTTTGCACCTGAGATTCCCCTTCTTGCAAAACCCCCTCCAGGTCTTCCACCCCTGCAATAAAATTCATTGCCCTTCTTCTAATTGTGGATGCATGGAAAAATTTGGTATTTTTATCACCTAATTGCAACCACTGATTTCTAGATTTTTGCTTCCAAAATAATTCCCCCTCCAACCAGTAATCACGAAAGTTTTGCTCAGCTTGCACCACTGATTTTTAGATTTTATATGATTAGCTTGTGTAATTTCTTACTTCTTGCTTTGGTTCACTTTCTCCAAATTGTCTAGTTATTTGAAAAGATACGTTGATCTCAACATTGCTGCTGATAAGTCAAAGAATGGGACATATTTGAGAATAAGGTGGCTGTAATTTTGAGAAATCAATCATAAACATTCAAACACTTGCACTCAAAATGAACCAAAAATTGGGACAGAATGGCCATAATAATTACAATACTGAAACGGAAATTGCTGAATATATGAATCCTCATATTAATGCATCATATGATCCTACTTCTTGGGTCATCAACAAATCAACTTGGAAAACAACACAAAACTGGAATGACCGTAACACACACACACACACACACAAAGATCACAGAAAATCATCCTATATTTTCTAAAATGGTCCACTATATATGACCAAAAATTTTTAGTCTGAAAGGGGGGACGTATT